ATTAACTGACATATTTATTTATTTATTGACGTATTTATTAAATTAATTATTTATTTATTGACTCATTTATTTATTGACCTATTTATTTATTTATTTATTTATTAATGCAATTATTTACTTATTGACTTATTTATTTAATTATTTTTTTATTTATTGACTTATTTATTGACGTATTTATTTATTTATTGACTTATTTATTGAATTAATTATTTATTTATTGACTTGTTTGTTTATTTATTTACGTATTTTTTTACTTATTGACTTATTTATTGAATTAATTATTTATTTATTAACCTATTTATTTATTTATTTATTGACCTATTTATTTATCACATTGTTTATTTTTTAAATGATTAATTTATTCATTCATTCATTCATTCACAGTATGTGTTCTTTAATTTTTGATATTTGTTCTGAAAAACATGTTTGTTTTAATGTGATTTAGACTTCATGCACCTTTTGCAATTCATACAGTGTATAACCTAATTAATCCTGCAGTGGGATCAGTAATGAAGTCATGTTCCTCAGTCTGTGTGTGTGTGTGTGTGTGCTCAACTCATCTGACATCATGTCTGAGGAATGTCAGCTCTTCTGTTCGGCCTGGAAACTGGAAACCGGCCTGTGATGTCATAAAGCATGTCATAAAAAACCTGTCAGAGCATGTTCAGTGTGTGTGTGTGTGTCCATAAATGGTGTTGTGTGTGTGTATGTTTGTCAGTGTACTTGTTTGCATGTGTTTGAGTGTACATGTGCGTTTGTGCGTGTTTGTAAGTGTATAAATTGTGTGTGTTTGTGTGTGTCTATGTGCATGTTTATTTGCATGTGTTTGTGTGTATGTGCATCTGTACATGTTCATAAGTGAGTGTATAAATTGTGTGTGTTTGTGTGTGTGTGCTTCTTTGTAAATGTGTATGTTTGCATGTGTATGAGTGTGTCTATGCATGTTTGTAAGTGTGTGTATAAACTGTGTTAGTGTGCATGCGTGAATATGTGTGTCTGTTTGTCCATCTATCTCTTTGTGCGTGTGTGTGTGTGTGTGTGTGTGTGTGTGTGTGTGTGTGTGTGCCTGCTGGCCACCCGCATGTTGAGCGATGATGTCATCCTGCTTGGCGGTTGCTTTTAATAGCTGGAAACAGGCAGGCCTTGAGCTGCTTCTTAAAGGGACAGGCGCCTTTAAGCAAACTCTCTGCTGATTTGAATATTCATGCGTTTATATAATCAGACATGTTGAAAAACAACTTCCTTCAACTCTCCTGGTGAAGTCAATGACCTGATGTTACACCGCCGACATTTCAGTATCTCTGGCGCTGTTTATTTATTATTCCAGGAACAAACAAACAGGAAAAACAATAACAAATAGAGTCAACAGAGCAGAGCGTACTGGATTCAGTGATCATACAGATTATCAGAGGAATAACTTAAGTGTTATAATAAAATCATGATTATTCACATGCAAAATAGAGAACAAATTGACAGTGTGTGTATTATATATAAAAGTAACACACACACACATGCATAAACAATATTTTTTTTTTATATAATTTATATTTATTTATATAATAATATTTATATAATATCATTTTCTTTTCGGCTTAGTCCCTTTATTAATCAGGGGTCGCCACAGCGGGATGAACCACCAACTTATCCAGCATATGTTTTACACAGCGGATGCCTTTCCAGCTGTAACCCATCTATGGGAAACATCCACACACACTCATTTACTACGGACAATTTAGCCTAACCAATTCACCTGTACCGCATGTCTGTGGGGGAAACCAGAGCACCCAGAGGAAACCCACGCGAACACGGAGAGAACATGCTAACTCAACAACGAAATGCCAACTGACCTAGCCAAGGCTCGAACCAGCGACCTTCCATCTGTGAGGCGACAGCATTACCTACTGCACCACCGCGCCGACCACATATTTATTTATCTAAATATTTTTTCAAATTATTTTTGCATTTCAACAGTTTCACATAAGAAATAAAGATATCAAAATCAATACAAAACACTGTTAACATGAGATTAATTATTATGAAAAATTATGTAATTTTTGTTTATGTGTGCCAATTTTTGCCAAGGTTAACAATAAATTTAACATCTTGATTGAAATTGTTTTCATAATAAAAAAATATTTTATCATAAAACAATAATTAAACCTAATAAAGATGTACTTAGCTAGGTCCACCCGTAAATTGTTTGCAACTTACATAATAAATAAATAGAGCGGCTTTCAAAACAAACTTGTGTTTTTAGATGCAATAAATCTTCGCCCAGTACTAGATATAATATTTAATACATATGTCAAATGTCTATCTATATATCATCTATCCATCCATCCATCCATCTATATATATATATATATATATATATATATATATATATATATATATATATAAATATATAAATAAAATATAAAATATTCATTCATTCATTTTCCTTTGGCTTAGTCCCTTGTGTATCATGGGTCACCACAGTGGAATGAACCGCCAACTATTCCAGCATATGTTTTACACAGCAGATGTCCTTCCGGCTGCTACGCAGTACAGGGAAACATCCATACACTCTCACTCTTACACACACACACACACACACACACACACACACACACACACACACACACACACACACACACACAAACTATGGTCAGGGTTTCTGCAGGTTTCACCAAGTTCAATTTAAAACTTAAGACATTTTATGACCATTATGAGTGAAATTTTAGACTCGGCTAAACTCTTGAGAGTTTTTCAAATGGCCCAGTTTTTGGCCAACTTTTAAACAAATGTAATTGTAAGGAAAATAATGAAACCATTATGAAAAATACAGAGTAAAAATGACATTCTTAAATAAAAAGTGAAAAGTTTTATTGAGATGGATTGTTGGTGATTGGATGGGTGTTGTCCAGATTGGGGAACTATACATAATAGACCATTATAGACCTACAACACAATATTTCAGTAAATTTAAGACTTTTTAATGCCTAAATTTTTTTTAAGATTTAAGACATTTTAAGACCCCAAAGAAACTCTGTGTAAGGGAAACCGGAGCACCAAGAGGAAACCCACGCCAACACGGCAAGAATATGCAAACTCCACACTAAAATGCCAACTGACCCAGCCAGGACTTGATCCAGCAAACTTCTTGCTGTGAGACCACAGTGCTAACCACTGAGCCAGCGTGTCGCTCTATAAAATAATAATAAGACTATAATACGATAATAATAATTAACCTTTTGCCATATTAAAGACATATGCTCCTAGGTCCACCCATAAATTGTTTACAACTTTACATTACATAAATAACGAAATATAAGCGTCTCTCTTCATCTCTGCGGCTTCTTTCCGTGACACGAGCGTCTGCTGATGATGTCATCGGTGACTCACTTTAACCAGCTCTGACTCACAGCAGATCTGATGGCCTTTTCTGAATGATGTCATGGTGTGAGCGCTGTGAATGAGGCCAGTCAGTGAACAAATGCATGAATAAATGAAGGAGAGTCACATGCGTCTAATTACAGACTCTTACTTCATGCCTGTGTGTGTGTGTGTGTGTGTGTGTGTGTGTGTGTGTGTGTGTGTGTGTGTGTGTGTGTGTGTGTGTGTGTGTGTGTGTGTGTGTGTGTGAGCTCATCTGCTTTTATTGCCGTTATTCAGAGCTTTGGGCTGTTTGCATTCTGATAATGCAGACGTTCTGCTGATGATGTCATGCTGGATGTTCACAGCGATGATGTCATGCTGCATGTTTAGACTACGTTATAGACTACGTTACAATGGCCAAAAAGATCATCAATTAAATATATATACACATATATGCATGCATGTGTGTGTATGCATGTAAGCATGTGTGTCTATGTGTGTGTGTGTGCATATGTGTCTATGTATGTGTATGTGTGTGCTTGCATGCATACTGTATGTGTCTATGTGTGTGTGCTTCCTCGGAGTCCTGCTTGGCTGTCAGTGTTCCTGTAGTGTTCCTCTGTGAGATGCTGAGCTCATGCAGGAAGCAGGAACGCAGTCTCTGACACTGGATCTGCCGGAGCTCAGCTTTCAGCAGCTCTGCTTTCTCGCTTCCTTCTCGAACGGAGCCAGATGTCAGAGAAAACTGCGCTTGTTGCTTGCAAAGTGGCTTGTTTGAGTGAAACCGTAAACCCTCCTGCTCCTGCATCTACTGCAGCATTGCCACAGTACTGAAATTTCCAACTCTCCAATAATAATAATATTAATATCAATATTCAATACCATTTTCGATATTGTGATGAACAAATTCTGCAACATTAAAAAAATGCAAATGAAGTAAAAATGGAAAAATAACTCATCTATATAATGCTTATACCAGGTACATCAGCTGTCCTCAAGTCTAAAAGGCAAGAAATGATCAAAATAACAATAATAATAATAATAAGGGCTGCACTGTGGTGTAGTGAATGGCACAATCGCCTCACAGCAAGAGTTTGTATCTGTGTGGAGTTTGCATGTTCTCCCCGTGTTGGCGTGGGTTTCCTCCGGGTACTCCGGCTTCCCCCACAGTCCAAACACATGCAATAAAGGGGTATTGAATAAGCTAAATTGGCCGTAGTGTATGTGAGTGTGTGCAAGAGTGTGTGGGTGTTTCCCATGATGGGTTGCAGCTGGAAGGACATCCGCTGTGTATAACATATGCTGAATAAGTTGGCGGTTCATTCCGCTGTGGCGCACCTAGAATAATAAAGGGACTAAGCTGAAAAGATAATGAATGAATGAATGATTGAATAATAATAATAAATAATCTCATCTTATTTTCTGATAAGTGTTAAATTCTTAACATTATTATTAATTATTCATCCCCCTGCTGGTGAGGAAAGAGTGCGAGAGAGCCAAGCCAGTATTGATACTAACCTTAAGCAAGATTGTGTCATTTTAAATATTTCAGTTGTGATATTTAACGATATATCAATATTTTTGACAACAAAAGTGAAAAGTTGACTACTTAAAAAAGTGAGTAAACCTGTTATAGCTTGGAGTCTCAGCAGGGTCAGTTGGTGTTTCTGTGTGGAGTTTGCATGTTCTCCCCGTGTTGGTGTGGGTTACCTCTGGGTAGACTGGGTGTTTCCCAGTACTGGGTTGCGGCTGGAAGAGCATCCGCTGTGTAAAACATATGCTGGGATAGTTGGCGGTTCATTCTGTTGTGGTGACCCCTGATATATAAGTGACTTAGCTGAAGGAAAATGAATGAATGAATGAAGTTTTAGGCAATGGGTTTACTCATTTCTTTAAAGTAAAGTCAACTGATTGCTTTTTACACTGTACGAATTTTTAGCAGCAAAAAGCAGCGGATGTTTCTGCACTGTGGGAAATGCTTCTTGGCCCCTGCGGAGTGTGTGTGTGTGTGTGTTTGGGGTTCATGTGTAATTCAGTCGGCTAGGATGTTTGGAAAACCCCGTCATTGTTACAGTTATTCCATTCTTACTGGAAGTAATTGAATTTGCAGCCAAACCGTGTGTCGGAACAACGTACAGTACACACAGTAGCTGATGGACAAATAAATGGTCAAATTTTAATTATTTCACAAACATTTCTCAAGTGATGAGCAAGGACATTTCCATTGTATTTCCTATTAAATCATTGTGTTCAGTCTTGTGTCTTTTAGTTTGACTGGAATAAAGGTCAGGAAATGACTTGCCTAATTAAACCTTACACCTTTAAATTGCACATATAGCTGTATATTAGTGTTTTACCAAATAAATAACTAGTGTAAAAATTATATTAATAAACAGGGTCTATATTTCACCATTCACAGGAGATTTAGTTTTTTTATTCAATGCATTTATGAATTGCATTGTTGAACACTGATCCCTGCTTTGAGTAGTTTAAAACAATAGATTGTATAAGAAATAATCCACAGTTAAAGTCAATTATTATTAATAATTATTAACAGAGCAAGGAATTTTTCACAGTATTTACTTTAGTATTATTATGTTTTTAGTTGTTTTAAAGCCATTTTAAGCTCAATATTATTAGCCCGCTTCAGCAATATTAGTGTTGGATTGTCTCCAGAACAAACCACTGTTATACAATGACTTGCCTAATTACCCTAACTTTACCCTAATTACCCTAGAGAAGCCTTTACATGTCAATTTAAGCTGAATAATATCTAGTCTATGTGCTTTCATCATGGTGAAAAGACATCAGTTATTAGAAAACTGTTTTGATTAGAAATTTGTTGAAAAAGTCTTCTTGAACAGAAATTGGGGGTAAATATACAGAAGGGGCTAATAATTAAGGAGGGTTAATAAATCTGACTTCAACTGTACACACACATGATGTGTTATAGTTTTATCACGTACAGTGAGAATCTCCTCTCTGTTCTTGCAGGTGGTTTTGCAGCGTTTTCCTCCTGTTTTCCTGAGCTGTGTGAGAATAAACCAGCATCGATTCTCCCTCTCAGCCTTTCCCAACCCTGTTTACCAGTGGCAAACATCGGTCCCACACGGATCCTGCCTCACCTGTACCTGGGCTCGCAGAGAGACGTTCTTAATAAGGTTAGAAGAAAGAAAAATACAATACAGTGTACCCTTTTCACGTTGCCAAATCCCTGATTGCATTTCTGTGCATTTACAAATGCACACAGGATAATATTAAATATATTTGTAATAATATACAATGAGGAAAACTGTGTCTGACAGTCTGAAATGATCCAAAAAAAAAAGAGCTATTCCTTGCATATCATCAGTGTCATCAAGGAAATCATTATATTTTATAGTCTGCAAAAAAATCCCTGTTATAAAGACATAACAAAGGCATGAGGCATGATCAGATAAGCAGGAATAGTTTTCTTTTACCCCGCGGGTGTTTTTGCACATGCCTCAGAATGACTGAATCGTGGCGTATCTCATCACTGACTTTGATAACAAGCATTCCAGGAAAATGCTTTCAGTGATGTTGTGTTGACTTAAACGTTAGCCCTGACATGAAGCTCTCACTCAAACACATTTTTTCTGGATGTTATCTTCCTCCTGTACAATAGCTTGAGCGTGCGTGACTGATACTGCTGGAATGTAGCTTGAATCTGCTGGATTCTTTTGAAATCAGTCTCATTTTCTGCAAAACGTTCCTCTTTTAACAGGAAGTGATGTCACAGAATGGAATCACATACGTCCTGAATGCCAGCAACACCTGTCCCAAACCAGACTTCATCAGTGAAAACCACTTCATGCGCATTCCCGTCAACGACAGCTACTGTGAGAAGCTGCTGCCCTGGTTGGAAAAAACTAATGAGTTTATCGGTAAGACATTAAGTATTTCAGCAATTTAAATGAACGACAAATCATTCAAGATATCAATTCTCAAAATGCATCAATATTCTCCTCCTGAATTGATTCTGAACTTGGCAATCTAGGCTAGTTCTTAACATTAGATGGCACTCTATGCTAGTTTTTATCATTAGATGGTACTCTAGGCTATTTTTTTAACAGCAGATGGCGCTCTACGCTATTTTTAAACAGGTGGTGCTCTCTGCTATTTTTAACAGCAGATGGCACTCTAGGCTAATTTTAAACAGCTGATGGTGCTCTAGGCTAGTTTTTAAACAGCAGATGGCGCTCTAAGCTTTTTTTTAAAACGCAGATGGTGCTCTAGGCTTGTTTTTGAACAGCAAGTGGCGCTCTAGGCTTGTTTTCAAACAGCAGGTGGTGCTCTAGGCTAATTGAACAGCAGATGGCGCTCTAGGCTAATTTTAAACAGCAGGTGGTGCTCTAGGCAAGTTTTTAAACAGCAAGTGGCGCTCTAGGCTCGTTTTCAAACACAGGTGGTGCTCTAGGCTTGTTTTTAAACAGCAGATGGCAGTCTAGGCTAATTTTAAACAGCAGGTGGCACTCTAGGCTAGTTTTTAAACAGCAGATTGCACTCTAGGCTAGATTTTAAACAGCAGGTGGTGCTCTAGACTAGTTTTTAAACAGCAGATGGCGGTCTAGGCTAATTTTAAACAGCAGGTGGCACTCTAGGCTAGTTTTTAAACAGCAGATTGCACTCTAGGCTAGTTTTTAAACAGCAGATTGCTATCTAGGCTAATTTTAAACAGCAGGTGGCACTCTAGGCTAGTTTTTAAACAGCAGATGGCACTCTAGGCTAGTTTTTAAACAGCAGATTGCACTCTAGACTAGTTTTTAAACAGCAGATTGCACTCTAGACTAGTTTTTAAACAGCAGATGGCACTCTAGGCTAATTTTAAACAGCAGGTGGCACTCTAGGCTAGTTTTTAAACAGCAGATTGCACTCTAGGCTAGTTTTTAAACAGCAGATTGCTATCTAGGCTAATTTTAAACAGCAGATGGCACTCTAGGCTAGTTTTTAAACAGCAGATGGCACTCTAGGCTAGTTTTTAAACAGCAGATTGCACTCTAGGCTAGTTTTTAAACAGCAGATTGCACTCCAGGCTAATTTTAAACAGCAGGTGGTGCTCTAGACTAGTTTTTAAACAGCAGATGGCACTCTAGGCTAGTTTTTAAACAGCAGATGGCGCTCTAGGCTAATTTTAAACAGCAGGTGGTGCTCTAGACTAGTTTTTAAACAGCAGATGGCACTCTAGGCTAGTTTTTAAACAGCAGATGGCACTCTAGGCTAGTTTTTAAACAGCAGATTGCACTCTAGGCTAGTTTTTAAACAGCAGATGGCACTCTAGGCTAGTTTTTAAACAGCAGATTGCACTCCAGGCTAATTTTAAACAGCAGGTGGTGCTCTAGACTAGTTTTTAAACAGCAGATGGCACTCTAGGCTAGTTTTTAAACAGCAGATGGCGCTCTAGGCTAATTTTAAACAGCAGGTGGTGCTCTAGACTAGTTTTTAAGCAGCAGATGGCACTCTAGGCTCGTTTTTAAACAGCAGATGGCACTCTAGACTAGTTTTTAAACAGCAGATGGCACTCTAGGCTAGTTTTTAAACAGCAGATGGCGCTCTAGGCTAATTTTAAACAGCAGGTGGTGCTCTAGACTAGTTTTTAAACAGCAGATGGCACTCTATGCTCGTTTTTAAACAGCAGATGGCACTCTAGACTAGTTTTTAAACAGCAGATGGCACTCTAGGCTAGTTTTTAAACAGCAGATGGCACTCTAGGTTAATTTTAAACAGCAGGTGGTGCTCTAGACTAGATTTTAAACAGCAGATGGCACTCTAGGCTAGTTTTTAAACAGCAGATTGCACTCTAGGCTCGTTTTTAAACAGCAGATGGCACTCTAGGTTAATTTTAAACAGCAGGTGGTGCTCTAGACTAGATTTTAAACAGCAGATGGCACTCTATGGTGCTCTATGCTAATTTTTTGCAGCAGATTGTGCTCTAGGCTAGTTTTAAGCAGCAAATGGCGCTCTAGGCTATTTTTTAAACAGCATGTGGCACTCTATATTTCAATACAATCTACACAGATGGTGCTCTCGGTTAGTTTTTAAAAAGTGGATGGCATTCTAGGCTAGTTTTCACCAGCAGATGCTATTCTAGGCTAGTTTTACCAGTAGATGGCGCTCTCGGCTTGTTTTTAAACAGCAGACAGCACTCTAGGCTTGTTTTAAAACAGCAGCTAGTGCTGTAGGCTTGTTTTAAAACAGCAGACGGTGCTATAGGCTTGATTTAACAGTAGAAAGCGCTCAAGGCTTGTTTTATAAAAGCAGATTGTGCTCTAGACTAGTTTGTAACAGCAAACTTACAAGTACCACTTGAGAGTGTTCATACTGGGCTGCGTTTACATTAATTTAGAATTCGTCTGCTGTTAAAAACTAGCCTACAGTGCCATCTGCTGTTGAAAATGAGCCTAGAGCGCCATCTTCTGTAAAAAAGCTAAGCTCAGCTCGATGTCTCGACCTCGCAAACAGTTTTTCACCACAGCTCTAATGTTAGGAAGCGAGTTTGCAGGAAGTTACAGAGGCTAAGTCCGAGGTTTGGTTAACACAAGCCATCTGTGCATCAGCGTTTGAGTGATGTCAGCAGCTGAGGTCTGCCATTACCTCATGCTTTGTGTGCAGTTTAACAGTGGATCTGCTTTTGACCGGTTTGCTGTTTCTCTCTGAACACAGACAAAGCCAAGGTGTCAAACTGCAGAGTCATCGTCCATTGCCTGGCTGGCATTTCCCGCTCTGCAACCATCGCCATTGCCTACATCATGAAAACTATGGGCTTGTCCTCAGATGATGCCTACAGGTGATTGCGCTGTTTCAATGCTGACTCTATAAAGCAGCGATTCCCTAACTGGGAGAATGGAGATTTAAAATATACGGATAAAAACTAGTATATCTCTTAAACTGAGTTCAATATGAGGCCTAAAACCAGTTGTTATAGATTATCAAATGAATTTCATCCTTATTTGGTGTTCCCGTAGGTTTGTAAAAGACCGTCGTCCATCTATATCTCCAAATTTCAACTTCTTGGGTCAGCTGCTGGAGTTCGAGAGAGGTTTGGAGATGAAGAAGAGTCTGCCTTGTCCCATAAGAATGGAAGCAAGTACAGTTAAAGAGGTGACGGAGATCCGAAAGATGGAGAACGACGACCAGAGGACTTCACAAACCACAGAGATCACCGTAAATCCTCCATCGCCTACCTCACTCCAGAAAGACCTCAGTTCCCTTCATCTGTCCACCGAAAAAATCCTACAAAACAAGCGGCTCAAGTGTTCCTTCTCCCTCGACATCAAGTCCGTCTACTCCTCAAGCCCAAACCACAACTCTTCTCCAAACTCTGACTCTGAAAACACACCAAAGATATGCAGAATTGATAATCTGAAGAACACCAATGGAGTAGGTCAATCACAGTGTATGATAGCAACCCAGATCGGCTTTAAAAGGTTGTCCGCTACATCTCTTTCCCTCAATTTGAAGCAAGAAAACTCTGGACTTCAAGATCAGAATTGTGAGAACAATAAAAAAGCATCTTTATTGTTGGGAAAATCTGCTTCTTGGACCACGCACAGAGGCTCAAATCAAGCCAGCACCCCTATCACACCCACCGGTGACTGCCCTTGGTTTTTAGCTGCTAATTTGGCACCTTCTGGAACCTCTGCTCACTTTGGCAGCACTTCTACATATTCGGCCTACAGTTGCAGTGGCCAATCTGGCAACCCGAAGCCTGGAGCGTACCAAAGAGACAAAACACAAGGGGATTCGCGAGAAATAAGCAGCTGGCTCGATGACGGGAAAACTCAAATTGTGTGTGGCATATCGCAAGTAGACACTAAATACAAGCGACGTAGTTGCCAGATGGAGTTTGAAGATGGTATGAGCACAACACAAAGCGGCGAGGACTTCGGGAACCTGGGCAAGCAATCCAGTTTCTCTGGCAGCATGGAGGTCATCGAGGTTTCATGACAGAAACAAACTGCTGAGTTCTGTCATTGAAGAGATTAACATTTAAGAGGGACTCATGCTTTTTTTTAAAGGTGCCATAGAATGCATTGATTTAATGTCAAATTGTTTTCTGCATAGTAATTATGTGGGAGAAATAGACAAGAAATGGTTTTGTGTTAATTTATAGATCACAGGAAATACCCCCAGAATGAAAAGCTCGGTTTGACCATATTTGGAAATTGTCATGAATATTAATGAGCCCTGCTCTGACGCTCCGCATGTCATCAGTGCATGCTCACACACGCAAAAAACACATGAAATACACAATACATGTACAACAATCATATTTTATTAGTCAAAAAACAATATTTAAACAAACTGAATATATTTCTTGTTAAACTGAAGTGAAATAGGTGCTTATTTTAGCTAGGAGAATTAAATTAAATTAAATTAAATTAAATTAAATTAAATTAAATTAAATTAAATTAAATTAAATTTAAAAAGTATCTAGCTTGGAGAATTAAAGTAAAATTAATTAAATTAAGCTAAATTAAATAAAAAAAAAAATTATCAAGTTAGGAGAATGAAATAAAATAAAATAAAATAAAATAAAATAAAATAAAATTAAATTAAATTAAATTAAATTAAATTAAATTAAATTAAATTAAATTAAATTAAATTAAATCCATCCACTGGGTAAAACATATGCCAGAATAGTTGGTGGTTCACTCCACTGTGGCGACCCCTGATAATTAAGGGACTAAGCTGGAGGAAAATTATCAATTAAATTAAATTAAATTTGTTGCTTAGTTATGGATGAAATATAGGCAAAACTATAATTATACTTGACAAAAAAGGCATGAGTTGTATTTTGTGGTTTAACGAATATGAATGCACATGCAAGAAATGAATATCAACCTTTGCATAAACAGATAAATATTAGCAAGTTTAATAGCATTCTTTCACTCCAGAATAACCACAATAAGAGCAAAGTGATTTGACACAATGCATAAACGTGCATTAAACACTTATATTCAGCATATTTCATGTGTTTGTTGCCTCATTACAAACGTAGGTGGCTGATTTCACGATATACACATTAAACAGAATATAGCTTAAAAACACCTTACGCCTGAATAAGTTTTGCCCTGTGATCATGAGCTGTGAAACGATGCGATACACCATGATTGCGTTAAATGAAAGCTCTACAATATCTTGTTTTCAAAACAAGAGTCTCACATACATAGTAAGTATAACACTAAGTTATATAAAATTAAAATTGTAATCCCATTAGCAAACTTTGTGGCTAAATTAAAGCATGCATATTAATGATCCTGTGAGAATTATCACAGTTTGTGTTTTCCCCTGATCCGGCCTGTTTTTCACTGGGACTTTACACTCACAGGATTTACATGAGAATGAGGAAGCAGTGGTGTTTGAGGTTTACTGAACTCTTACTATTCAGATATGCCTACATGTGTCAGTATTTACATTGTATGGCACCTTTAAACAAAGATTAAAGTGGAGTTGTTGAGGAAGCACATTGAGTATGAACAGACACAATCTCTGGTATGATGTAGGACTACCAGTGTTTTAAAGGAGCTTATAATGACTTATAATAACATGCACTCTTACCAAAGACCTCACGCGGTGTCCTTTTCTCTGGCATGTCATCTTGTGGTACACTCAAAACAACAAGGATGGATGGACGGTATCCTTCTAGCATGACCATACAAAGACACTAATCATGAAAGAATGAGTGTGTGTGTGTGTGTGCGTGTGTGTGTGTGAATGCAAATTAGGGCACTTAATGGTGGCTTTTGCCTGAGGGGGAGCTGTATGTACTATGCCCAAGTTTGAGAAGATGTAATTGCTGTGCGACGTTTATTTTTTTGTCATCGCCCTATGATCTATTTAGCTATGGATTGAAGAAATGAGGGCAGTTGCATTCAATGATGTCACAATTCAGTGTTATACATTTTATGCCCAGATGCAGAGTGAAAATATGAAGTGTATGTTGACGCTGAGATACTCTCAGACCTACTACTGTGCACTGAGCATGCTCAGAATGGCTGGCTACCTACAAACTGACAAGCTGCATCCCGCAGCACTATGTATTAAGCTGTAAATCTAGACTTATTTACATATATGTAAAAGAAATTTACTTCAATTTTATTGGTCTATTTAAAGTTTCATGCCTTTTTTGCTTTAATTTATTGTATTGGTTTCATTCTGGCAATGAGCAATAATATATTATTTGAAAACGTGCCTGGTCTTTGTCTGAGTCTCTGGTGCAAATACAATACAAACACATGCATTTATAGTGGCTGAAAAAATAAACTATGATACGCATATCTACTTATTTAAACAGGGCCAGATCATTGGCTGATTTTATATAACTTAGTAAAAGCTAATGAAAAAAATCAATAGCTAAACTAATTTGAAACCTTAACTCCGAGGTCACATGCACATACACATACATTTTGTATTTTATTCTTTAAGTAATTACAAATGATTGCCTTTCTGTGTGAACACTTTGCTTAAATTGTATTCAGTGATTAATACATTTATTAGACTATTATAATATTTTGGAATCTTATTAATAATCTGATATTTTTACACACACACACACACACACACACACACACACACACAGTAGAAGTCAGAATTATTACCCCCCCCCACCCCCCCCCCCCCCCCCCACCCCCTGGATTTTTTTTCTTTTTTAAATATTTCCCAAATGATGTTTAACAGAGCAAGGAAATTTTCACAGTATGTCTGATAATATTTTTTCTTCTGGAGAAAATCTTATTTGTTTTATTTAATCTAGAATCAAAGCAGTTTTTAATTTGTTAGGTCAATATTATTAGCCCCTTTTAGCTATATATATACATTTTTTTTTTTCTCGAAAGTCTACAGAATTAACCATTATTACAATAATATAATAATATTATAATAATATAAGTTATTATATACAATAACTTGCCTAATTACCCTAACCTGCCTAGTTACCATAATTAACCTAGTATAGAAGTGTCTTGAAGAATATCTAGTCTATAATATGTGCTGTCATCATGACAAAGATAATATATATATATATATTTATATATACACACACACACACACACACACACATAAAAAGTGCTCAGCATATTTCACCCACCACAAATCTACCTTTTCAATTAATATTTCTTATAGAAACCTTTACAATACTATATTTGTGCATATACATTAAATTATTCAGTGCTGAAGTCAAACCTGGAGCTAATCTAATAAATAACTTATGATAATGGTCCAAAAATGAATACACCTAAATGTATATTAGATAAAAATATTGAAATAAATTTTTGACACGGTGGCTCAGTGGTTAGCACTGTCGCCTCACAGCAAGAAGGTCACTGGTTTGAGTCCTGGCTGGGTCAGTTGGCATTTCTGTGTGAAGTTTGCATGTTCTCCTCGTGTTGGCGTGGGTTTCCTCCGAGTGCTCCGGTTTCCCCCACAGTCCAAACACATGCGCTATAGGGCAACTGATGAACTGAATTGGCCATGGTGTATGAGTGTGTGTGCGTATGTAATAGTGTATGGGTGTTTCCCAGTGATGGGTTGCAGCTGGATGGGCATCCGCTGTGTAAAACATATGCTGGACTAGTTGGCGGTTCATTCTGCTGTGGCGACCCCTGATGAATAAGAGAATAAGAC